AGTTATGCTAAGCTTGAAATGCAGGTCTGCTGAGATCGACTGCAGTTCTTCACACGCTAGGTGTGTCTGAAAGACGCACATGCTTGAAATTCAGAGATGCACGATCGTGAGTGTGGTGCAGAGCAAAACTCACACTGTGCAGTAGCCAGAGGGATAGAGTATGTCAGAAAGGTTCAAACGGAATGAGGAATTTCAATGGACTTAAACACCCACCCAAAACAAGAAGAAAAAAAAGAAACACACACGCAAATATGCACCAATACACCGGCTCTTGTGTCCTGTGATGCGACCCCGCAACATTGACTGTGTGCAGCTCTCCAGCTCTGTTTGTAGTCAGACACTCCCAGGTGTGTAGCGCTATAAGAACCCATTTCATCTCCAGCTACGCCATTAAAACTATGATCAATTATGCATGCTGTAATTATTGACAGAGCCGTGACAGTGCGCCTCACCTAGCCTGCTGCATTGCAGTGCTGACACTTGGAAGGAGCCGGTGTGGGGAAGTGCGCACTGGAGCTGGAAATTGATAAGGCGGCTCTGCTGGTTACATGTTGATGTATTTTATCAGGTTTGGTGGTGGTTAATGCAAGTTAATGCCCTATTTGGCCTCCAACTGATTTCCCGTCCGCCTTAGATAAAGGGTGCTGCTTGCAATGAGGGGGGCAAGTCAGCCTCTAGCACCTCATAATTATGGGAAGGCATCGCCTCTGACAGAGATGGCAAAGGCTCTTACTATCGCAGCCTGCAGAATCAACTCTCACCCTTCACAAATAAGATTTTCTGTAATACAACAGACTTGCATATTAACTGCTAATATGCTCCTCTATCCTTCCTTTCTCTCTCTCTCTGCTTCTTTCTTTTTCCTGACTTGAGGCGGGTATTATCATTGTAATCAAGCGAAGACCCAGCTAACACGATCATTCTCCAAACCATCATGTAGTAATAATCCCCTCCTTCGTATTTGATTATTGTAATAAATCTTTTTAACTAGCTACTCTGTCACACTGCAATGGTGCACATCTCCCCAATCCATCATCCGGCAGGACAAACGTTGCAGGAATCAGACGAGCCGCAAAGGTTGTTGAAGGGGCCTCATATATTTCGCCAGCAGCTGTCGGGTTTGCTCTATTTGCTTCTGCTTTGGAGTTTGAAATGCATTTTTTTAAAATTATTTTTTATTCCCTCCTTCTCCCCCGCCACCATTATTTGTCTTCCATATTGCCAATGCGCAAACAAAGAATATTCCCTCTTTATCTGAAAGTGTGATTACTCTGCAGAACTCTCTGTCCTCTATTACTGACCTCGCATCCTCCTGTCAGAGGAAATCAGACCAGACAAGGTGTTCCTTCATCTTGCCCGCCGGCGCGCACGCACGCTCACACACGCGCTCGCACGTATACCTTAGCCTTTGGTTCGGGAGTTTCAAAAGACCAATTTGACAAGGCACACCCACCGTCTCACGAGGAGACACATGCTCAACAAAGTGCTCTCGCATTTGTATGCACCGCGGGTTGACACGGGCCATTTCTCTCCAGCTTTTTCTCAGACGGAGAAGCGGCCGTCGACACACAACAGAAGGGGCTGATTATCTGTAAATTTGGGAGACTGGCGGAATAGGCACCCTGCGGGATGGACTTGCATCCTTGAAAAGGTTCCATTTTTGTTCAGAATGTATGACTAGAAATGGAACGACAAGGACCACAAATACACTCTCAGAATAGGTTTGTGGAACTGCATCGACAAGATCATGAGGATGCAGTGAAGTCGGCAGGAGGCTCAGGAACTGACGGGACCAACGTGTTTCATTAAAGAGAGATCTATAGGTCAGCCCCATGTTGCACTTGGAGACTACAGTCAGTGCTGCTTACATATTCCTTCTTTCCTTCTTCCCTATTTTTCATTTTCATTGTCTGAACTATTCTGCATTCTCTCACGTTACACCAGAAACTTTAACATATTTGCTGATTGACCAACATAAAGCAGACTATAAAGAAGATAATACATGCGTTTTGAACGTTTTAACAAATACAAATCTGAAAAAGGCGCTTCATATTGGTATCCATCCCCTCTTTACTCTGATGTAACTGTTCTAGTAAAGGCAGACAGATCAAGAATAAAGCTGAGGCTGGGTTTATAGCAAGATTATGCTGTAAGAACAATCCTTCAACAGAAAACTGTTCAATCCACCAACCCAAAAGGTAGAAAGAGGATGGAACAACTGAAAAGCAAACAAAACCATTTAGAAGGTACAAAGACTTTACATCCCAGCAGGTCAAAGCACAAACAATCATAAAGCCAAAGGTGAAATGAATTGATTTAGATAAAAGCCTATCGATTTGTGTCGCGAATGGGAAAGACAAAGTGCAGATCTAAACCCAATTAAAAACCTGAACATTAAGATCACATCCCAATCCCGTTGGACTGAGCCCGAGTTGTTTTGCAAAGGAGCAAATAGGCAAGAATTTCAGTATTTACATCAGTAAAGCTGATAGAGACAACAACCCTGTAATCTTGTTTTTCCACCTCTCAGCTAAGCACTTCTGTCCTGGTTCATTCCTATAAATTCACAATTGAATCCATTGAAATTTGTGACACTTCAAAGGCAACAACTAAGCAACAATCATCTGCTCTCATGACTTGTAGTCATGTGACGAGTGGCCCAAGGCAGGCTTCATTTTTGTCTGAGTATTTATGGAATGAGAAAGTTTTCAAAAGCGAGCTGTGGAGGGCTGCGGATTCTGCAAGCATTTATTCTCCTTAAAACAAACGATTCCACTAATCAGGCTTTGATTGAACCAATTCGGGAGGCTCAGAGGGTGCGATAATCAGGTCTGTCAAGTGGTTTAGTCGGCGCAGCAATCCAAAACTCAGAAATAAGAAATCAGGAGAATCATCGCTTTTGATTTTGACCAATCAGTCGAACGGAGCGCTGAATCAACTGCAGATGAGACACCTGCAGCCAATCAAGGCGGTGGAATAAACTGTATAATTAGAGAGGAGAGAAAGGTCACTTGTTGGGATGGAATACTAATTGCTTCTGCGGTGACTGCCCAGGAATGGGTGGCATAGTTTTTTTTTGTTTGGTTTGTTTTTTGAAAGCTGCGTTAGACAAAAAGTTTGAACATTTCACAAAAGCTGAAGTGACGACATTGTTCAAGAGATCCAACAGCAAAAGATCACACAGGTGCTCACAATGTAATATGAACTCAGTAAATAGAGTTATTAGACATTTCAGATTTTAAAGTGAATACATCAGCCAGGACATAATCAAATCTTCACTGAACATCACTAAATGTTTAATGGATAATTTTATCACGTTACCGCTAAGGGTAAGACATCCGATGGTTTGACAAGTTTCAGTATTAAAAAGTCTGGATATTTTGTCGCAAAGGTTCTGCGGTTGATAGCAAGCAACTTCATGCGACGAAACAACTAAACTTTTCTTAAGAAACTGAGAGTTCTGATGGCTTAATGTTCAGTCTCAAACATTAAACCTCTGATTTTGATGAAATATGAAAAATAGTAGTCGATTTTAGGATGTTCTATTGACAAAATTAACAAATTGTCCTTTTGAACTAGCTGACACCACTAAAACAGCACTGAGGAACTCTGTTTTTGAAATAGCATCCAAGACAGAAACAGACAACATACAAAGAGTTTCTCAGCTCTGGCAGAACGTGTAGCTAACGCTTCGCTACAAGATACACTTCCTGTTAGCTCTCTGTACTATGTCACTGCTCCAAACATTAAGAACTAGTGAAATCTTGATATTATTGCACAGATTATATATCATTTTAAACAGTTTGTGGAAGTTTCACACTATTTGTGACAAGTAGGAATGCTTTCTTTTTTCCCCCAAGAATATTGTAAACATCCCATCTCATTCTTGTGAAGCCAATATCATGTATCATCTCGTTTCATTAGTGAGGATCAGAAATCCTCGTTGCAGCTTCTTTGGTTTGCCCTTTTGTTGAAATTTACCCAAACCTAATGGAAGTGGAAGTCAGTGTGATGCTTCTGAAGTACTCACAAGCTAGCTAAAGCTCACAAGTTAGCCAAAGCTAACTGGCGAGAATGATGTGTGTAAAAAAAAACAAAAAACTGAGAATTAAAACATGTAAAATAATGGAAAAAAAATATTGTAATTTCATTGAGATGCTTTAGGCAAACTTAAAACAGGATGAACATGGGAGAAAATTCCCAAACAGATGTAACGATGTCACATTAGCCATTAGGAATTTTATAAACATTAGAAGGCTCATTTTTTGGTGTCGACCTGTAATTAAATCCATTTCATTTCCAGAGATAAAAAAAAAAAAAAAAAAAAATCCCCAACAAATTACACACCGACATGTGAACATTACTTAAAAAAAAGAGGCTTTTATTACCTGACCGTAACTTAAGAGTTGCTGTCTAAGATAAGACACCTATACGAGTGTTTAGGAGAACTTGAGAACTTCCTTAGGTAAATTGAAATGCAAAATTAATTTGGTACTTAAATTCCAGAGGCAGAAATGCATAAAAGATGAAAAAAAGCCACTTTCCCTTAATTCACAGTTTATTAAATTCCCAAAGAGAGGTAAGTATCTATAAAACCTCCATCTCTCTCAGGCAGAACCAAGTACTGACATATTCCATTTTAGTGCATAATAGAAATGAAATACAGATTTTTGTGCCTGTGTGTGCGTGTGTGTACAGACACACACGCACACAGTTTCTTTCAAATGAGTTGTTCACTGGGACAGGCTTGCCAACAGGTTTCTCTGTAACTACACCACTATTTTGCACAACAAGCGTCTGCCAGAGGCCACATGTATAATTGAACGGTCGGCTTGTCTGTTGTCGAGAGAAGAGCTACCACATGACGAACCCATTTACAAATGTTAAATACAGGGTGCTGCTTTTATTCCAGCTCAGTTGATCGATTTCTAATCTACAATACATACATATAGTCCTGACAGTGCTCCATTTGAACACCTAAATTCTTCTTTTATTTTTTCCAAACTCGTTTTTTTTTTTTTTTTAATCTCATATAGTCTCTTTCAGCAGTATTATTCAGTGGTATTTACATTTAAAATGATCTTACATACAGTCAAACAACGTATATATTTTTAATCGACATCTTATAAAACAAGTGTTATCTTTGAACTTTGTTCATGATCTGTTGCTGAACATCGTACAGTAGAAAAGTGCATTCCAGCTGAAAACTCAAACTCATTTGCATCATGACCTTTGATGGCGACACGACGGCGTACGGCGGGAGTCTCTGTGCTGACGCACCCCTACTGTTTAACTAAGAGACTTGTGGAAAGTTTTTCTTTCATTTAGGCAGTACAAGTGTTCAAAGGAGGAAGTGATCGGCACGGATTACCCCTCCCCCACTTGTGGTCAGAAGTCATGCATACTTAGTCCTCGAGGTGCGAACAGTGAGACTACGTAGGGCGGCTGTAGAGGTACACAGAAAATAGAAAGGAAAACAGAGAACAGCAGACTTCACAGGTTCTTCCTACTGTTCTGTAACTGAATGTCTAGCGTTCTAAAATGTGAGTTGAATACGTGTACAGTGCTTTGAAAAAGTATTTCTAACCCCTGAACTTGTTCACATTTTGTCACATCGCAACCACAAACCTCAGTGATTTTATGGTAAATGATAAAACGATGGCCCAAGTCTTTTTTTTTTTTTTTTTTTTTTTTGCCTACATCATCTTTTGGCATTAAATAGGTGTTGGTTTTTATTTGCAAAAAAATCACTTTTGAAAAAAAAATAAATAAATAAAATAAACTTAGGTAATTATTTCAGTGGGACTTCAATGACTTTGTTGTGACACCGCTTGGTTATGTTCTGTGTTTTGTCTTTGTCCTGAATGTAACCATTTTAATTTGTACCCTTTTTTTTGTTCTTTGTGTTTGTTGTTTTCATGTCTAATTAATTATTTTGCAGATCAATACTTCTGTTCGCTAGTCTGCAATGTTTGTTTCGCATGAACGAATCAGTAAAGTAAAAAGAAAAACCGACACAAAGTAGTGCATAGTTGTAAAGTTGAAAGAATGGGATTTTTCTTTCTGTTTATTTTATTTTTTTTTTACAATTAAAAATCAGAACTATTTGGCTTCAGTTTATTCAACCCCTTTAATTGGACACCCCTAAATAAAATCAAGTGGATTGACTTCATAAGCCACATTTAGTCAATGTCACATTTAATATCAGTAGGCTTACACACAAGTAAGCAAACACACACTGCATTAATTAATTAAAACCACTACAGAATTTGCACCATTCCTACTGTTTAACGTGGTAGTGGCTGCATCATGCTGTGGAGATGCTTCTCCCAGCAAGCTTGTCAGAGTTAATGGGAGCATGGAAAACATTTTAAATCCCTCCACTTCGTCGGTAGGGACTACTTTGTGTTGCTGTATCTTAAAGTTTTCTTAGGTTACAAGGTTGCAGGTGTGACAAAATGTAAAAGATTCAAGAAAGAAAAAAAAAATACTTCTGAAGGTACTGCGAATCACCTTGCTTTAGTACAATCGATGCTTTACTGTATTCAGTCCTTTTGTCGGGACGTGTCAGCGTGTAAAATCTCTGTAAACATATCAACACTCGACTACAAAAGGTTGGGGGCGTGAGGCGGGGCGGCGGTGGGGGAGTGGGGGGACAACATCCCTAAACGGCTTAAATTTTTCACAATGTCTGTTTTACTCGTGGGGCTCAGAGGAGGTTTGGAATCTTTTGGCGGGACTTAAATGATTCATCATTTTCATTTGGAATGGAGAAGCAAGCTGAATTATTCACTTTTCTGCCCCGGCAGAAGGAATAAAAAGTAATAGTTCGCTGTACAATCGCTTCACTTGTGAGATCGTTTATGACGCTATACATTCCCGCCATCCTGCTCTCTCTTCGTCCCAGAAACCCTTCCGGCCATTTTGTGTGTTTTTCCACTTTTCGACTCCGTCTGCGCATCGTTCCAAATACCAACACCGTTGCCTGTGCAGCACTACTTCTTATTCTCCTCTTTAAATTGTCCCTGGGTATTTTGATTTCTACTCCTCATCTCTCTTTTTTATCTTTATTTAATTCTTCACACTTAAGCTCACGAAGACTGGTGTGTCTGAATAATGCACTTGTTCCTACATAGCCAGACTTTCTCTCTCACGCACACACACACGCGCTCACACACTCGCACAACAAGTAGCATCTTTCTTTCTCCTTGTTTTCCTGCTAATTCTCATTCCATACGTGCGGGCTGAATTAAATCGAGTCTGGGATGTTTGGGTTGTTTTTCTTTGTCCAGAGCGTTTAACAAATTGTTGCTGCCCCGAGCCCATGCAGCCTCTGCATTGTCTCAGTATCTGTGCTCAACCATATCAGCGTTTCAACACTTATTGCTTTAAATTACATCAATCACTCCCTCTCCTGCCCTCACATTCTCCATCCTCCCTTGGCTCATTTTTCTCTGTCTCTTTTTATTACTTTGCCTCTTCATCGTTCTCTCCTTTAACTTCTCTTCACATTATTCTACCTCTAGTTGCCTTTTCATCACCTACCCTTCCTTACTGCCTCCTTTGCCCCCACTGATTTCCCGTTTTTTTGTTATTGTTTTTTTTCAGTCTTTCCCTTCATCCCTTGCTTCCTCCACCTCCCTCTTCTCTGTTTTGTCAGACTCTTCCTTCTGCTCTCTCTCCTTTTTGGCAACATCTTCAACTTTTTCTTGATCTTCTCTAGCTTTCTCTCTGTTTTTAAAGAGCTGGGCTAGTTTCTGGAACTGAGGGCCCCAGTCTTCGAGCCCCACACCCCAATCCTCCTTCTCGCCGTCGCTCTCCAGTGAGCTGAGGGACCCGGCTCTGGATCCTGTCCCCTCCAGGCCGTACACCTGTACTGAGTCGTACGGCGGCTGAGACGGGTCGAAAGTGACCTGGGCAAGACGCAGGCGTAGGAACTCACCCACCCTGAGTGCCAAGGAGGGGCCGCCGGGCCCCTGCGGCCCTCTTGTTGCCTCCATCCCAGGAACCCAGCCAGGCCCATAGCTCATCACTCCGCCTAGCGTTCCCCTCGGCTGCCCCGGGAAGGGTAAAAGCTGGGGGCTCATGTCCCTCCTGCCCAAAACGTACCCCCCTAAACCCATCTGCTCTCGCCAGTCCCCGATAAATCCAGCTGCGTCCGTGAAGACAGACGGCGTTCCGGTCAGCGGGATCCCTCCATTCTCCCTGTCCGGTCTCGCCACCACAAAGTTGCTTCCCATTTCCAGCCCCCCTCTCCCCAGGCTGCTGGTGTAGTCCCTCTTTCCAGGCACCTCCCCCTGGAGGACAGTGGCGTAGTTGCGTCCGCCGACTGATTGTCCGTCTCTGGAAGCGTTCCCGTTCCCGACTCCTCGTCCCCGCTCCCCTCCTCCGCCTTCGCTTCCTCCTCCCTCCCCGCTGGGGTCGTGTTCGGGCAGGCCGGGGCCGGTGCGCTTCGGGGACGGGCCGGAGCGGGAGGCCCTGCGCCCGGCCATGGGGAGGGTCGCCGAGTCGCAAACCCAGCCTCCGACGGCGTGACCCTGACCCATCAAAGAGCCGGAGCGGGTCATAACGAGGCTGTGCTCCCTGGGCAACGTCTCTGACTGCACCTGGGGGAAACATGGGTGAGCATGAGTACGTTCAGTTTTGAAAATAAAATCAGTTTTATTAGACAAAACAGGAGGAAAGATTTAACAGAAGAGACAGTAAATATGGTAGAGAGTGGTGACACAAAGCTCAGATGATGGTTCCTACACAGTTTTTAATAAAAGTCTAAACTTTTCCAGACTCATTAATCCTCAGGCCTCTTTAGCATATTTTCATGTTTAAAGGTTAAACAGAAAACCTCAGAAATTTTTTTTTGGTAGCTATTAGGGATACACACAATTAATCAACCTATGATTTGATTGGATTGTTAGATTAAAATTAGTTTGAACCAATGAACTAATAACGTCCACTTAGACCTTCTTTTAGCATTGTAGTTTGGCCTTCATTCAGAAGAGGGCGCCACTTGTCATCCTTAAAACAGCGTTAGCTGATATAGAAATAAAGGTGGCGGGGAGATTCCAGAATGGGAAAGAGAATCAGTCCAAAAAGAGTGTGATGTGGGATGCAACATGCACTTTATGCAGTTTTGTTTTGAAATACAAACACTCAACATACTCCTAAGGTTTTTATTCTAATATCGCTCATTCAGAAAAGCTGCACAAATTACTGATATACTATGAAGTTTAATAATGTGAAAAAAACGGCCATTTTCTGTTTATTCAGACAGTATGTAAATAAAGCTGACTTTATATATATATATATATATATATATATATATATATATATATATATATATATATATAATTATTATTTTTAAATTTAGCGTATTTAGCCCTTTACATTTTGGAAAGACGCCCCGCCATCTTGATTGAAATGAAATCTCAAGTTTTTTAAGAAACTGGCTGCTTGCATGATGAATCAACTTTAGATTAATTCAATAATCAATAACTTGTATCCCTTGTCGCTATTTCTAAATAGGATGAAAGGAACAAGAAAATAAAAAATGGAAGAGAAGGAAGAATAAAAGAATAACGGAAGCATGAAAGAAAAGGAAGGAGGGAAGCATGCAAAAGATGAAGGCGAAATAGAAACTGATGAATTAATGCAAGCAGCTTTCAGATAATAGAACAAGGAATAAAAAAAATTTAAATATGGAAACACATCATTCCCCAAACTCATCCAGAGTTGGAGAGGGGGGGGATGTCATCAATCAATTTCCATCCTCTTCCAGAATTTTGCTCCCTGTGGAAAAAGCTTGAGAAAACGATGATGGAAAGGGCCTGACACGATAGAGAGAGAAACTGAACTGCAGTGAAGGGAGTAGAAGAGGAGTTGTACGAAGTCATAGATATTAATTGAGAAGCAGAATGAGCCAACAGTGAAAGGGAGATGAATCGGGAAGTGAAACAGAGACAGAATATTTGAAAATTAAATAAAGCAGCGGAGAGCCTCGCTACGACTTAATAAATAAAAGAAGACAAAAAAATGTACAATGGGGTATAAATGTGCTGATATATCTGCACCATCAACTTCTCCCGCCATTGTCCTGCTCAGTTCTGCTGATTTACAGACACTAAAACGCTTTAGTGTGGGAGGACTGCAATTATCTACCGTATTATGTTAAATGGAAACTTAACAATTCCTTTATATTTGCTTAATTACTTTCTAACATATTATTTGCTCATACAATAGAATAATTAAGTCACTCATTCAACTTTAATTCCAATTCCGATGCAGCCATCTATCATTAGCCCAGGAAATTATTTAAATGTATTTTATGATTTAGCACAACATGTACCTTTGCTTTTTTTGCTTCCTTCTCATGATGTCTAGCTCTCCATCTGTTCACATATTTCGCTGCTTTTGCAGAGCAGAACACCAGTTTTCACACCAAACGCTCATGGATGCATGATTTGCACGACGAACATGCGAGGATTATTAGATGGACCGTTTCAGTCCATCCTGCAAATCAGAACCAAAACACGTTTCGTAAACAGGGCACTTCATTTCAACTCATCAAAAAGTTGATTTATAATCCAAGATGAATTGAATTAGCTTCCAAATCACTCCCAACACTCGCAAAAGTATTCACTTCGTTCTATTTTTAGCTACATAGGCACAAACTTTAATGTGAGAATGAAAATGGAATGAAAAAGAGTCGATACTTAAAGTCCAGACCCAAATCCAACAAGGAATTAACTGAGTATTTGCAACACATGAACATGCTTTGAGCACATGTGTTGAACCTTATGTGGCCCTCTGGAATATAGAGGGCCACATAAATGAAGCTATTCGGTAATAGTTGTATGTTTAAATATTACTTTATTAGTCAATTCAAGTCAGTTTTTGTTTGTATAGGACCCAATTACATTGGTGTGAAAAGATATTAAAAATTTTTACATTTTAAGAAGTGCTAATCAAACGCAGAGAAAACTATAAAATGTAACAGTTTGTTAATAGATAGTTTTATCAATACTTTCTGCCACTATCTGCCCTTTGAGGACATTCATGTGTAGAAGATGAACCTCCAGTCGTTTTTAGGTTTCTCTTTCAGAAATGTGCAATATTTAGCTCCATCTTAAGTTGTAGATACTTCTGCAGGGTAATGCATATTTTCCAACCGATCCTTTCCATATATGCTTACCCAGTCCAGATCCTGATTGTGATTGCTTTTGTCCTCGTTACTTCCGTCCATGCAGCTGCTTCCCGGTCCCGTCCCGCCTCCTCTCTCCTGGCTGTCGCTGGTCCTCGGAGTCCCTCCGTCTGACGTGCTCACTCCGCTTTGCGGCGCTGTCCCGTCACGGCTGCCGGTGCGACTGCCCGTTCGGCTCCCTGTGCTGAGGTCCGTGGGCGCTACGTACACCGCCCCCGACTCCATCGGCCCGACCATGGCGCCTTGGTTCTGGATGACCAGGGAGTGGTCCGGCTGGGCTCCGGGAATGCGGTACGCCAGCTCCGCCAGGCCCGGGTCGAAGGGTCCTCCTGGTGTACGGCGGAGAACCGGGAGGGTGTGGCTGCTGTAGCAGAGGCGGCCGTACAGGGGTCCTCCTGGTGCCGAGTAGCCATGGTCCACACTTGGATTCTGGGGCCAGGCGTAGTTGCGAACTTTGTCTTGACCTTGTTGGGTGTAACGCCTGGAAAACAAACAAAATGTTCAAAACTAGATCCTTTTACGGCTGGACAATAAATCCATAACTATAAATATCGTGATAGCGGTGTGATCAATATCAGCAGATAATACGTCTGATAGAATATCTAATAATTTCACAGAAATCTGATCCAGAACCGCATGGCATTCTGGGGGATGTAGGCAGAGGAAAGGCTTTAGTCACTCAACCTCTCATCACCAGCTAAGCAACCAGCTCACTCTCTCTTGGGTTACCTAGCAACAACTTGTTGAGAATATTGCGCAACAGCAGTTTCAAGTTTTGCCACAATAACTTAAAAATAAAAAACAATGGCATGCAGTGAAAACTGGGGAAGTTTTTTCCCCAGTTCTCAGTTTGTCTTTACCAGTTCGCCTTTTTGTTTTCAGATATTAAAACCAAAAAGCAGAGCAATAATTATCAATTTTGACTGATAATGCTTATGTTTTTCAGCCATTTCATCCAGCCCTAGATCCTTTTTTATGTTTTTCTTTTTTTAGCAATGTGCTATCTGATTTACACTAAACAGGGGTATTTTGATCTTTCAACTGTCCTGCTTGCAAACTACCAATCTGATATAATATAATCCTGTGCAAGATCAGCCACTATGAGAGCAAGCGACTTAAAATACAAATGAGCTTCAACTAACAGCAAACGATGTTTGTTCAAATATGCTAATGCTAAAATAAGGCAATAAATTAACTGCTTTGCAAAAAAAAAAAAAAAAAAATCAATCATAATTTGGGTCAAAACGCGGCTTCACATTCACAAAGTTTAATTTAATAACTTCTCAGGCGCACAGCATCAACAACAATAAAACCTAAAAAGGAATTGTTGCAGGGATGTTGCACTGTATTGCACTAGATTTTTTTCTTTCTAAATGTTGTTGTGTCCACGTCTTATAAAGTGGAAAAAAAAAAAAAAAGCAATTTTCGATAAACTGCAGGCACTCTTTGTACTTGTTTATGGCCTCTCCATATGGCCTGCATGAATTCGGGAACTAATTATTACTCCAAAGGCAATAACAACGTTTCACAGAAGCATCAAAGTGGGTGCAAACGGCCCTCTGATGTAGCGGGACACAAACGAGCTTTAACAAAAACGGACAGAACAAAGTGGTCTCCCGGGACCGCCGTGCTTGATAGCCTTCTGTTTCGGCATTTTGATCGGGGATTGATTATGACCCGGGAGCTGCGGCCCGACTGCTTGCTTAAGTGCATCGGTTGAGTCCTGAGTGCTGCAGGAGCCTTTTCTACAGCGGGAGGGACGGACGGGCGCTGAGGAGGTGATGTTTACCTCTTGTGCTCCCCTTTGGCGTGTAATGTGAGACCAGCTTTGAGGTTTTGATGAAACCGAACTCGTCTGCACGTTATGTAAACAGTCCCTCAGCCTACTTACACATTCCTGCTGTCGAGCGTGCGATAGCCTCGAGAGCGGGAGCTGTGCGGCGCGCTCTGGAGCGCGGCGATATCAAAGGCGGCCGTGTCGGCCTCGCCGCCGCCCTCGTCGTCGTAGGTTATGATGTTCTCGCGCACGTCGTCCTCCTCCAGCGGCGACAGGGAGTCCCTCTTCTGACGGCGCAGCGACAGCGACAGGGCGCTCACTGCTGCGGAGGGGACGGGCGTCGATGATATCCAAGCAGAAAAAGAGAGAGAGAGAGAGAGAGAGAGAGAATGATGAACAATGGAGGAGAAGGTGCATCATAAGTCACAGGGGAAATAAAGGAAAGCAGGTGGAGGACGGAGTGAGTGAGATTCATACGGACAAAGAGGTGAAATTCTCAAAGACAAAGAGAACGCAGAAGAGGCCTTAGGTTAGAGGGCCGGTATATCATATCAGCAGACTGCATGCCTCCACTCTGTAATTGACTTTGAGCTCTAACTGGGCAAACGGATACCTTACCCTCTCATGACTCCATGACTCTTGTTCTATATTCTCAAAGCAAGGAGCCGCATTTGACCCTGAGCTGTGGCAATGAGCAAAGCGATGGAAGCTCATTAGCAGTGATACCTGTGGCCACGTTCAACCATTGTGCGTGGTTTCATAATTTACAATGGAATTCATAATTATCTTACTAACTGGGGAAAATGTTACTACGCGTGTAACTGTAGGGCAACAACCAGATTGAAAAAAAAAAAAAAAAAAAACCCAAACAATAAATAGTTTCAATGTGTTTTGGTGTCAGGGGGATAAAAAAAAACTCTTTCCAAATGGAATGCAAATGCCTTGGCATAAAACTTTAAACTATTTTGAACTTGGATTTAAACTAATTCAGAGCTATTACTGAAACTTATTTTTATATTGAAACTTGTTTAAACAGGCAGTATTGTGTGTTTTCCAGCCACATGCCGTTTTGGAGTGCATAATACCTTCAGTTGTTATAAAAATGCTACAGGAGACTAAAGGATTCCTCCTTTAGTCTCACTCCAGGTATGTTTTTGATGAGGGAATCGCATTATAATATGACGTAAACCTTAAAAAAGTCAATTTTACACAATACTGCCCCTTTAACATATTAATTTGATCATTTTGTAGAAAAACTGATCAAAGTGATGTGAAGCACATAAGCACCACATCAGTAGTGGCACCACATCATGTTCTGACTCACCTCCAGTCGAGTGGAGGTGGGTCTGAACATGAGCATCCTGGTAATAAAATATGTCAATCTGTCAGCTGAGGCCAGTTTTCTAATACTTCCATGAATGTGCTGTCAACAGGAAGTAGGCTCCCCCTTGTGCTGCGTCTCCTACTTGCTGCTGAGAAGAGAGAAACTGGGTTATGTGCTCTCCACAAGTCTGCACTGAATATTATCCCAGTCCTGAATATCAGATCATTTCTTCCTTTTTGACTGGTTAGAAAGTAAGTAGGATGTCTCCCATCAATGAGGACTGCCATTGGAAAATATCCAATGAAAAGACAAAAATATCTTTTCTACACGGAAGATACAAACACATCTCATCTTTAGATTGAACCCATAAATAAAACCAGTTTAACAGAAACAAAATATCACACTTTCACAAACGCTCCCAGTCCAAAATCTGGAATCTTTCATGACAACTAATAAAAGCTCTGAAATTCGCTTTTCAACAACTGGCCTAGATTTGGGCACAGAAACGATGTAATATATTAATAGCCTACTTGTTCATTTAAAAGCCACCTATAAGCAGAGCATAATGAGGTTCTGTAGAAATTTGAAATCGAGCCTCATATCCAGTGCAATATTGAGCAGAACCACACAAGCCAAAAACGATGTCACAAATATTCTCTGTGTATCTTGTGGAGCTGATAAGTGATCAAATCTTAATCACATAATTTATACAACATTTTAAAGAAACTAGCCAATCAGAAATCCTGAGCTCAGTCACTGCTGTCCAAAACTATTATTTCCAATTTTTTTTTTTTTATTATCTGTGGAGTCGAAAAAGTATTTTCTCCCTACTTGCCTTGTATTTAATTGTTATTTTCATGAAAACTTTATGACAAACCAAGATCATTTAGCAATAAAACCATCAGTACACAGAAGCAGGGTTTGATTGTCAGAATCTGTTTCCACGTCCAAGGTAAACAAAGAGGTTGACCGTCTCCAATTGTCCTGTTATAATTTGGGAAATAGTGCAGACTAATGAGCTTCATTTCCACTACCGCACCACCAGTCCACACTGACAGAAACTTAACTACAAAATCCAAGACCTGGCATTGGATCTGAGCGTGTTTTATGCTCAGATCCCATTTTAACGGATCCCCAAACTGGCATTAAAAAGACTGCACTCCAGTGTTTCTCCTACACAAACAAAATATCAAATAAAATAGCGCACGCCGACCCGTGACGTACCTCTCTAGTGGAATTGAGGCATAACAGTACGTCTTTGTTACGACTGATTGATCAGTTAACCAGACGTGCTGAATAAATATGAGAATTTTACACGGTTAAAACGTTAATTTCTTGTTTTGTTGCAATTGTTTACAATTAGGCAATAGAAGCTTAGGGAAGGGGCTTAGCAAGGAGAGAACGATAGCATCACTGCGTGTCCACGCGCGCTTATATCTCCTTGTGGGTGTCATGTAGGCGGCTAAGCTGCTGCATTAAGTTAATCTGCTTGTCAGAAGTTGCTTTATTTATTTTCTACGGCTAAAATCCACTGATCCATGTGCAAAAATATTATAAACATCCACGATAATATGTGGGCTCATTTCCACAGCCTACTGCACATATTTTCTCACTAAAAGAGAGCCGTCAGAGGTCGTTAATGCAGGCCCAGTTTCTTTTTAATCACCAGACTCGATCCTCATGGAGCCATTGTCAAAGCCTCTTTGAGGACTTTCTGGCATTTTGTGTATGTTCTGGTTTTAATGTGTTATATCTTTATCGCACAACTAAAAAAAAAAACACCCTGTTATAGACTGTCAAATACCACAACACAGTTCAGGCATTTACCTATTGTGGTTCATTCCTCAGCTCCGTCAAAGCCGCCCTCACTCACACCGTGTTACATTAGTGTTGTGATTGAACCGGCCGCTCCCAGAATAATAACGACTGCATCAAACCCGGCGTCAGTGGCGATCCAGCTGGCTGAATGGAACCGACAACGATGCTGGCCGCCAGCCAAGGCCTTCTCTGAGACTCAGCATTATGAGGCGGAGCAGTGACATTTGGTTACGCTGCTACAGAAGAAGAAGAAGAAAAAAAAAAAACGAAAACGGAGAACCCAGATAATCACTCGGTAATGCTACGTTAGCGCTGATCGGAGTTGACCTTGCCAAAAGAAATAAGTGGGCTAAACCAGAAAGAAAAAAAGCAAACCCGGCTATTGAGTGGCTGTGACTCAGAGAAATATTTCCACTGCTGCTTTTATTGTTTCCATATGCAGATTAGGCAGCGGTAGTGGTAGAGTAGTGGTAAAAATACAGCACTAAAACACTAATTACTCAGCAGTTTTTATTAGATTAGCATTAAAATGAAAATTATATCTCTTTGCTGTATATATAACAATGTGTGCTGGAGTATAATCATCAATGAGGTTATATAAGAAGAGGCCTTTTTATTTTTAACTGGGAAATGATTAATGATACTCTGTTTAGCGGACAGCACTGCAGCTATTTTAGTTAAAGAGATCTCATATAGAGCGCAGTAACATTTTTAAAACCACAAATACTTTTAATGTGAAAGGACACAAAATCTTTTTTTTATCTCACTGTCGGACTTTAAATTTGTCTTTTTTTCTACTTTGGGTCAGCAAGGATTAGCAACATTTGAATTTGCGAAGTTATACGACTGTTTTTATAAAAGATTTTATAACCTTTCTTCATTTTTAATGGGATTTTTGTGTCTACGTAATTTGGGAATGTCCAGAATATGTCAGTTTGAGGCACAGCTGTTGATGTATTTTAAGGAAACAACTCAAAGAGATTACTTGTGTGACATGATGCATAAATAAAATAAAATAAAATAAAATAAAATAAAATAAAATAAAATAAACAAGCATTTTGGACCTCAACTTTGGCTGATCTCTGTTTAACAACAATTGTAGGAAGATTTTAGCTGCTCAACCTTTCGTCACCAGCAAAGCAAGGTGAGCGGCATCAACTAACTCGCCCGCTCACGGGTTACCTAGCAACAACCTGTTGAGTAGGTTGCGCAGCAGCAGCTTCAGGTTTTGTTACCGTGCCTCATAACTGCTTAAAACAAAAAATTTGGATGAAACAGGAAAGGTCACGTCACCAGTTTGGCAGTATTTCAGGTATTGAAAACCAAAAACTAATCATTAATTATCGATATGGACTGATATGAAATCCTTATGTCGTGGTTTGGTTCTCTCTGCCGTATCGTCCAGCTCCAGAAGATCCAAAGAAAGTTTGTGGGATTGAGTGAAAAAGCTGTTTGGCTAAAGCCTGATTCACTTCTGTCATGAGGAACGGCACGAATTTCCAGCAAACTGCAGCAAATACATTTTAATCAGTTTTTGTCTGATTTAATGTGTATTTCTGGTGTATCCAGGTATCCGGTTTCAACTGTATATTTCATGTGACAAAATATTTACCCAGTAGCGTAGCAACACAAGCCAGGATAGCCAGCAGGGCGGCAGTGCTGAGCCCCGGGGAGGGTAGCATGGACTGCTGAGGCAGACACACTGCCTCTCTCTCCCAGTCCGAATCTCCCTCCGTCTGCTTGTCCTTCTCCTCGGCGCGGGCTCCCCCCCTCAGGCAGGGGCAGACAGACACGGTGACCGTCCCCGTGCTGGTGAGGCCCGACGTCCCGTCCCTGAGGACGAGCGGGACGTACAGCGTCAAGGTGGAGGATGGGGAGCGGGACAACGGCTGGAGCTGGGACAGCAGCACCAGGCTGGCTGTGGGGCCTGCCGGGGAAAATCAGACAGAGAGGAAAACACGTGTTATTAATCAGCGGTTAACTGCCTCTTAGGATTCTCCGTTTTCTGTGCTAAATCATGGCAGGAGGTCGCGTTCTGATAACAGTGCCCCAAAACCCCAGCTTTCAACTTCGCAAATCTGTGATCGTGTCAGTTGCTGATTGATTTATACCTCTTGCAGGAATAAAGCTTTTGAAAATTTCAAACTTTTCTTTGTTTTTTTTTTGTTTTTTTTTACATTTTGCACAACTTGAACAATTTAAGTGACAGACCAGCATTGCTTGTAACAAGAATGACTATGCTATATAAGTTAATGATATGGCACTGCTTGAAGAGTCATGACAGGTACAGATGTTTAAGAGATGTGAACATGTCAAAACGCCGAGCTGCATCAATATATCTTAGTTGCCTTTCAATGGAGATGCTCATACTCTGGTAAAAGACTAAATGTCATGCAGAATAAAACAATCCAAAGCATCAAACTCACAAATATTCTGTTTGATTTCAGCAGGTGCAACCCAACAGCTCTGCCAGTTCTGTGGACACCAACACAGGCCAATTACTAGATTAGCGAGCCATTAAAGGAACCATTATTCTTGACTTCTGATCCTTAACGAAGCAACAATCGTCATCCATCGAGACGGACTGCCACGCACATAAACAATGTCTTGTAAACCCACCCATTGTAGCTCTGGGTGTAAAACCTTTGTCCTGCTGGAAGGGAAACCTCTGCGTTATTCTCAAGTCTTACGCTCGAGTCACCTTTCAATCAACTCTGAATTGTTTCATTTTTTTCTCTTGTTCACCATAAAAAATCTCAGCTGCTTTGCTGATTAATGCCTTGCCCTGCCTGTTAGTTTTGGTTAGTAGTCACATTTTGGTTCATTTGAAGTTGTACTCGATTGGATTTCATTTTGGAGTATCCAAGAAAAGGGGGCTACTATTTAGAAATAGTAACCATGCTCCCAAATTGCATTTTTTTTCTATCGATTTGTCTTCCACTTCACAATGGTGCACTACTTTTTGTTCAGTAACATTAAATTCCAGTGAAATACACTGAAGTTTGTGTCTGTGGGGGGCAAAACATAAAAGAATGCTAAGGGATATGAAAACCTTTGTAAGAGGCTAAAGTTTCTGAAAGTACAAACGCTACAAAATCTGAAATGTTTAAGTGTTAGACAATATCTTGCATACAAGATATTGAGAATCTTGTATGCAATGTTTTTGCGATTGAAATGTCTCTTCTAACCTCCAACAAATAGATTTCTCTATGTGCATGGAAAATGTTTTTTTTTTTTTAAAGATATTTCTATATCAAATAACGGAGACTAAAAAAAACCCCAGAATGCCGTGAGATAAAAGAAGGCATGGATATTCTTTATCAACATGAATGTCACTGCAAAGTTGCACCAACATGACAAGGGTGATTATCCTGAATCCTCTCTGTTGATTGAAATCACAGATCAGATCATTCTCTTTGGTAACAAAGCAAATAATGAGGCACGTTTTTGTGACAAGCTGTCCATATGGGAACGGAACATGATCTTATTGTTCCTCTGTTCTGCTGCTGGATGACACATCAAAGAGGACTTTGAAACCACACGTCAGTGGATTTATCCTCCTGATCCGTGATCCATCACTGTGTTCTAATCAAGGGACAAAAAGCTGTTCAAAAAAGTTCTGGGCTTTGTATCGCAGAGACCCGGATGTCCCTGCTTGCCACCGACACTTAAATGAAACATGAGTTCAAGCCTTCGAATTTCAGAGATAAAATTGTTGCTGTGTTATATTATCTGGAAGCATGTGAAAAATGGAAACGATGATTTTAGACTTGTTCCTTTGTGTGGCTAAAATAGACACTTTCATCCAGAGTTGTGAGGGTGCAGTTGGACGCATGAGACAACACACAGAATGTGTGTTGTCTCTGCCTTGCACTCAGAACTACAGGCAATGTAGAGAGACCAATTCACCTGAAACCCATGTTTTTGAACAGTAGATGGAAGCACGAATACCAGCAGAGAATCTAGGTGTGCACCCTGGCCGGGATTCAAACACAGAACCAAGGCAACGCTGCCAGCATCTGCTCCACTGAGCAACCAGGAAATGTACACTTGTGGATGAAACAACGTGTTTCTACAAAACAACTCTTGGATTTTCCTATTTGATTATAATAGTTAATGTAAATATGGCTAGACGCTTTTATTCAGCTGAAAAATAACACAAACTTGAACCACGACCAGATTTTTCTTTTCTCTGTTGGATGTCTTAACTTTTTCCTACATGTCGTAAATAGAATGTCTACAGCCAGAAGCACAGATATGTTGTATGTGATCAACCGTTTTGAATGGTTGAGACCCATCTATACATGGAGGAAGTGGGACGCAAAATTTTGAAGTCTGACAAAGGAGCAACGCCTAGCCGCTAATTTAGATATGTGGATGTTACCTGGGTCAAAATTCAAGCCTTTACTGAACAAATCAACAACACCTGAAGAACGTAGCTACCATCTTTAGACTGTCTGGTAATGACTGATAAAGATGGAAGTCTTACCAGTAAAGCACACACGTGCGCACACATACACAGGGATTGCCAACTACGTTATGAATCTCATCAGCCACTGGAACATAAACTACATCTACTGCTCATCAGAATCCCACAAGGGCAGAAGCAAAGGACCACAGACGCATTGGGAAGGCACAGATAACTTGAGGATAGGCCTAGACATACAGAATTCAGATTAATCAGTCAAACCACTGCAGGAGACGAGAAAAAAAGCAAAAGGACGTCATCATTCAATATGTGCTGCGGAGCGTCCAAGAAACTAATGGGGTCGAGCAAAGAACGACGTTGAAACGTGAAAGTTTTCTGTCACACTGAGGGAACCCAACACACGGGACGTGGTAAAAACAACAACAGCAACAAAAGTTGAAAATTTTTCAACTTTCTTGTGTTGCATTGCTGGCCTACGTGTGAATTTCCCCAGTGGCTTGGCTGTGGGAGGGCAGGTGATTGTATCCTCATTGTGTTAGTCCAATAGAAAATGAATGTAGAGAGAGAAATGTTGCCTCCCGTGTGTTGAACGCTTTAGGATATTTTCCAAGCATCATCTTGGGGTGCAGTTTAAACCCCAGTGTTGGGTTTACAGTGTGTTTACAGAGTGTTCACTGCAAGGCCAAAACCACGAAACAAAAGGAAGGCGGATGGTTTCTATAGTCCAGAGTTAAAAGGAACATTAAGATCGCTAAACTGGAGAAGCTAAGCAGCAGCTAGGCAAACGCTTAGCACAACACAGAAGAGCAAGAGACTAAGAAAGGCTAATAGAAAAAGGACTAATTCCTAATGCCTATTGGGATGAACTCAATTAAATTAATCCGTTTGGTCTTTTCACAAGCATTTTACAAAAACAGTAAGTAAATGTGACGGTGCTGGGGAGACGAATGCAAGGGAGAAATAGGACGGCAAACCAGTGGATTAAACTCAGAAGAAAGATGGATAATATGGCAGAACAAAGGGACTGCTAGAGTTGGTTGACGGATTGATGAAGATTCAGCGACAGAAAATGAGGAGAGAGAGTTTGAGAGAAGCAGACAGATAAAAGCACAAGAAAGAAGGATATCTGAATAAACGGCGATAGGAAAGAGAATGTCTGGAGGAGAAAAAGGAAAAACATTTGGGATTTAGGGTCTTACAAAGTGCAGAAAAGCTGTCTGTCTGCCAGAAAGATGGGGGGGAAAACAAATAAATAAAGAGAGAGCACCTGGGAGGTAAAGATTAAATACCTACCACCACTGTCTCTGACGCTGAAGTTGAGGGCAACGCCGGATTCTGGAGGGATGCTGAAATACACGGTGCTGTCGTTCCCTCCCTCATCTCTATCAATCGCCCGCAACACCTGCACCACCTGAAACAAAGCGATAGAGTGCGGACGAGATTGAGTAAGGGGCGGGAATGAATAAGTGAATGTGACTGTGTGAGAAGAAGGAATACATGGAGGGGGAAGAAGAAAAAAAAACAAAAAGCAATGGAAAAACACTTCACAGAGAGTGCTTTTAGCGATGAACCATTAGCTGATGTCGGCAGGAATCATAACAAGCCAATTAGTGTGAAGACACAAGCGAGCAGCGTCTGATACACCAAATAAATAACAGCATCTGATGTGAATCAGCTTTCACAAATACAGTGAAGTGTGGCTTTCAATTTAGTAAGAGCATCTTCACTGGAAATGGTAACAAAATTAATCTAAAAGATATCTCCCGCAGCCCACGCGTGACGGATAATTTCTTTTTAATGAAAAACTCTGCTTGTCATTATGCAATATGTTCTTTTTTTTCATGAATGCGTTCGAGTTCAAGGCGGGAAAAGCAGGAATGAATGGCGCCGGATGTCCTCCGAGTCAGTCAGCGACTCCAGGCCTTCAGAGGACTCGCTGCGCCGAGTCCCGCTACGTTGTCAGCTTCTGGTGTGAATATTCAGAGGCGTTTTGTCTAATGACTTGTCAAGCCGAGACGTGAACACGCAACTTTAGCGGAGTGAAAGACATCATAATCTTCGTCGTCTCCCGCTCACTCAAACAAGAACATACGCAGACACAAAACAACGAGGATCGCACATAAATCAACGGCGTTGCCACAGAATCACAGATTTAGTGGCGAAACGACAAAGACTCAAGCAGAGCAATAAAAACAGCAGCCAAAACAACAGATGGGCCAAGACACCAAATTATAGCGACGGAGCCAGCGTGGAATACAGAAGATGGAGGAGAGAACATAAAAACAGTGAGAGCGAAAGGCTGGCTTCCGCGGCGAGACTGAGGAGGGAAGACAAGATTTCTATAATTGAGATGGGATCAAATACGGGAAACCATGATGCGGAAAAACAGACAGGAAGACAAATAAAGCATGAAGGATAGTGGGATGGAGGGAGACAGTCTGGGAGAAGGCTGGAGTTTAATTACACCGGGAATAGCTGCTGCATTTGGATAACAGGCCAAGGAGGACTCACCTTCCTCTACGTACAACTTTGTTTCACCAAACTTTGTGCGCTTTTAGAATCATTTCCGGTCGAAACCAGATATTTATATACGCTAAATAAACTCCCCTAAAGGTCATTCAAACACCTTCTGTTTTATATCAGTTAGAATCTCCAAAATGGTTTATTTTTTTTATTGCAAAATGCAGGATGGTTAAGAGCAGTTTCGGGAAATTGATGTACTATATAAATGTAATTTTTTGGAAGACATAACTATTAAGATGTTAACATTTTGGGCATCCTTCCACACTGTTCAGTAGTTTTCTGGAGTGTTGGCCAACTCCTTTCCTGTAAAGTGCTTCAATTTGTTTTAGATTTGCAAGATACCCACTTAATTTCTCCAAATGTAATGATGGTCGTCAATACACCATATTTGCATGGACAAAGACTTCAATTTTAGCTCCATTAGACCAGAATAAAGGTCTTTGTGCCTGCATGGATATGCTAAATGTAATCTGGCTTCTACATCTCTGAGAGTCCCGTCAGGCCGGGTCAGAGCAGGACTTGTTTCAGTGTAGATTCTGTTCTGAGATACCCAAGTTTAGCACCAAAGCATGAATCCGTCTCCTTCCTGAGCTTTCTAATGGGGTTTGTTACCATTAACAATTTGCAAATTGTATTTTAAAGCATGGATGCAAGCTTAAAGCTACCATGTTTTACTTTTAGCCTGCAAGACGAGTCAGGTTTGGTCATCCTATTTGATCAACTTCAATTACCTTTTGACCACGTTCATATACAGAGTCCTCACTTAGACATCTCTGTATCCTATTTTTAAGTTTTCAACAAGAGTTTCATGTTATTTAGACAGAAAGCATTGCCGTTGTTTTCACTTAAGACAGGGGTGTCAAACTCCAGTCCTCAAGGGCCGCTGTCCTGCAGTGTTTAGATGTGCCACAGGTAAAAAACAGTGGAATGAAATGGCTTAATTACCTCCTCCCTGTGTAGATCGGTTCTCCTGAGCCTTGCTAATGACCTAATTATTCTTTTCAGGTGTGGTGCAGCAGAGGCACATCTAAAAGTTGCAGGACAGAGGCCCTTGAGGTCTGGAGTTTGACACCCCTGTCTTAAGAATTTCTTTTTGCTATTCTTGTGTCCTGTCTTGGCACCACAGGCTTTCCATAGAGTCAAGATGGTTGCCTACGGTAAATCGGGGCAGATTTACTAGACAAAAGATGTCTGAAGAGCGAATTGCACTTGCTTTCGGCCCTAGTGACCTCCAAAATAAAAAGAGGTCTGGGAAAATGTGAGCCCAGGTGAGGAGATGGGCAGGGTCAGCAGCTGGTACCGTCTCACCAAGTGTGAGCATCAACATAAAGGGGGAAACGCATTTAGATTGCCTTGGAAAGCCGAAATTTGCTGGGTCAACAAAATAATGTGCATGTAATCCAGTTTTGAAACTGACTAATACAGTCTGGTAGAAGGTTGGAGTTTAATTACACTGGGAATAGCTGCTGCATTTGGATATCCAGCCAAGCAGAATTCATTTTCCTCTACATTCAGCGCCGTATCACCAAACCCTATATGCTTCTATACTTGGCTCCAGACGAGCACAGAGCACTTCCACGTTTGATACAAAGCTGTTTTGACATACTTCATGTTCTCTTTTAGGAGAAATTAATAATATTCTAAACAACATCACAGCGCTTTTATCCAATTCCCTTTTTAATGACTTAATAATGTGTTCACAGACTGCCTGTTTCTGCTGCGCCTTCCTAACTTGCTCTAAATGCAAATGCAGCATAGTCTTTAGAAAATATTCCTGATATATTCACGGTATGATTCAACCAATTCTTTGAGGCATTTCTGCATTTTGTTTATGAGGCATCATGCCAGGACTTGCACGCCATGGGGTAAATAAATAGTGTTTCTTTTTCTTGTTGTTTGTTTTATTTTTTTTATAGTTTTGGTGTTAAAAAAGATGCCGTCTTCCTTTACTAAAAAAAAAAAAAAAAAAAAAAAAACTAGAGGGAGCAGACATTTCCAAGCTTATGTTATATCTTCGAAATCCAAAAAAGGAAGATGACAAAAACGTATTTACAGTCACTGAACACCAAAAAGGTGATTTGCTTTAAAAATAACCCTGATGAGTTTTCAACAGGGAAACGCTCAAAACAGCTGTTGGCCTCAGCAGGTTTATAATCAAGTTCAAGTTGTTATTGCTGCATGATGGACTTTAATGACTTAATAGTCACTCATGTATTGTCCATAGTGTTCAAACAGCAGGCAGTTAAACAGACTTTTCACGCTTGATGAAATAACTCGGCTCAAAATTCCCGTGGCACTTTAATAGGTAAGCAGGTTTGCAACCAACTGAGCAGAACCTGCAAATGCCCACCGAACTTTAATTATTTACAATGACTGGACGATGATTTGTGACCCTTTCGATTTGTCATTACAAGCCCGTTTGTCTAGATTAATAAACCAGCCTCCGAACTGCAGCACTTCAAACTATACACAGATTTTAATGCTTTAATAATTTTACGATAACAACACTACACAAGGATGTTCAATGAGTTGTTCCAAGTTCTCAACCTGTTGTTTACATTTCAGTGCTGGACTTAACGTCCGACCGCGTGGGTTAACAAAACCACAGGAGAAATTACATCTAAATTTGAACACATCAAAAGATGATTTCCGAGCCACTGATTCAACTTTGACTGTCATATTGACCTGAATGGTTAAAGGTGATAAACACAATCATATTAGATGCAGCAGCAAAAGTAAGATTTCAATAATGCTTCGTCTGCATTGAAACCTCATGTTGGCTGGTTACTGGTGTCAAGATGTACCAAGGTTTTAAAAACTTTTATTTTCAAAACAATTTAAACACGTCTTGCTTCTGAGATTTCTCGGACTGTTTGCGTAAAGTAAAAACAACAACGCCCTCCCCCACTTGTTTCTGCCAACTTTCAGAAAATCTACTTTAGAGAATTTCTTCTTGTCTGTAATTATGAGAACATTTATAATCATGACTTGCAAACTTTAAGATATGTGTTGCAGATGACATCATTGTTACGGCAACATTCACTGTGTGAGAAGCAACAATTATTCCTCCATTATCTATATGATACATAGATATAAAATGGAAGAATAGCCCTTGCTTTTCTGTTTTAAATTAAAGTGATTCCATCATGTTGTATCCTTTAAAAACACTTTCTTTTTTAAGATACTGTGATATTATGAAACCAGTATTTTTACTTTAGGATATCATATTGTAGGAATGTTGAGATTTTGGTGATAAAGACCAAATTTTAACTGAAAATTTCTATCTTTATGAACCAAACTGTCAAACCATCTTATTCTTTCCCCTGCACCACATTTCCTGACAGCAAATCTGCTTTTCTCCCTCTACATGCCTATAACAACAACTTTCTATTGAATGCAGTGTCCATCTGCTGCTGCCCCAAAAGTCAATAATGTGCTTGCAGAGCCATGTATGTAGCTGTTAACACCTACAGCGGCAGCAGTCCTGCCATTATGAAAGCATAAATTCTTCTGACATCTTGGTGACAAATTGCAATCTTTAGCAAAGCTGGCAACCTTTAAAAGTTGTTGAGCCGAGAACAGAGCAGAGAAAAAGTACAGAGCAGGTTTATAAAGTTGCTCCCAAGGTGGGAACACGCAGTACAACCTGTGACATTTCGAAATATGCTTGTTATGTCGTTGAAAATGGGTTTCAAAAAGCAACACTGCGACTGTCTCATCTTACTCGAAAAGCAGTTTTTTAACATCACCAATGGCTTGTTAAAAGGTGAACGTAAAGTTAAATGAGGCGCACGAACTGGTTGCCCCCTTAGTCCTAATGTTTTATTTAGTTATCGCAACCTGTGGCAATGTCCTTTTTGGTGCTGTGAGCGTATATGTTGGTAATTGGAGGGGATCACTCTGAACTAAAAGTTTCACTTTACGCCGATGATGTGATACTTTTTATTTAAAGTCCTATTTCTTTGCTGTCTTCGTCATTGCCTATGCAGTCCGATTTTTTTCTTCAAGTGAACTTTTTGTTTTAAATGAACAGACACTGGGATTCAAAACAAAGTGCAGCTCACACATCTGGGAATCACAATAACACAAAGGACAGAGTGTGCGTCATGGCGGACCCTTTTAAATGGTTAAACGTCAAACCGAATAGAGCAGAAAGTAATGATACTTAGACTTCTAAAACATGTTCATGTTGCATAAAAAATGAATTTCAGAAATAGAGAGTAAAGAGAATTATGCATGATACCTAAATATCTGTATTTACTGCAATTCAAGCAGTTATTTGTTTTATTACTAAAGTGAACATATTGTAATATGTTCTGTAGCCCTAAAGCTGAAGTTACAATGGCACCCCTTAAACGCAACTTTGATTGGCTGCAATATTCCAGACAAATAATCATTCATTTATATTTATTCTTCATACCTAAATTCCTCTTTGCCTCCACAGATGCTTTAACCTCATTTTACCTTTCCGACAGGAACTGTCTGTGAGAATTTTAGGAATCCAAAAGAAATGATTGACTGAAACACTAAAAGAATAAGTAGTTGCAATCCAAAGAGAATAGAAATCTTCATTCAGGGCTGGTGAAGGACGTGGATTCGGTCCAAAATTTCTTTTGGACTTTAGGAATCCAAAAGAAATGATTGACTGAAACGCTAAAAGAATAAGTAGTTGCAATCCAAAGAGAATAGAAATCTTCATTCAGGGCTGGTGAAGGACGTGGATTCGGTCCAGGTCGTTCCTCCCATGTCCTTCCTGGGTTCTCGTCTTCCTCTGCATTTTGATAAACCAGTTATTCCAGCGATCTAACACTTCCTCTAGGAGTGGAGTACGGTCGAAAAACCTTTCAATTTCTGCATTTTCTCACTTCACACTCCCTTGGTATCCAACCGCTTATTTCCACCTTCTTTCTCGGATCACATTTGCCAGGTTTAGTACGGAGCAGGTGGTGTCCGCTTTAAAAATCTTGTTTTACAAAGCGAGCCAGCCTTCCACAAGCATCTGTTAACGTAGTATTCCCTTCTCAAATCTGACTCTTTTAGAGAAAACTGCTGTTCAGACTTTCCCTTCGATCATTTCCCTCAATGTTTTTAGACGCCCAAGTCACTAACCTAGTTGAGGAGTTTTCACGTAAACCCATCAGGCAAAAGTTTAGAATAGATTAACTCTAGTAACTCTTGTAGAGAAACTCAAGCAGGATCCTTCGATCTGCAAGGAATGACTGAAATCTGCCTGTTTTTTTTTTTTAACGTGCTGAATAGTGTTACTGACCTAAAACTGACCCTTAGTTCTGTATCTGTGTTTCCTTAACAGATGTGAGCAATATTTTTGTTGATAGTCCCCTCATGTCTTCGTCTTTTCCTCCAGTAGTAACATCCGGTTGTTGGTTATATGTCTGCTGCTGAGCGGGAAAAAAAGTGTTTCCATTGCAGTTTCGCGAAACACACCAATTTCGATACACTGGAAAAAACCACTACATCCTATGGCAAAATCTTTTTATTGAAAAAGTAGAGGTTTTTTTTTAATTGCCATGTTTTCATTAAGCAAATTTACTTCCGTATTTCAATTTTGCATAATTATATGGCTAGTGGAAAAGCTGTCACCAGTATAGTGCGAGTAAGATGGACATTTTACTTGTGTAAAGCATCCAGTCTGTTACCATATTATTGAGATCATCATATTTTGTTTCGTCCTGGAAAACATTAATTATTCCAAGGTTTCCTGTTGCCCTCAGCTTAGACACACTGGCTCTACCCAGAAGAAAGACCTTAACTTTCTAAAATATAAATTTTGAAATGCATCAAGAAGGCTAATAGCTTTTTCTGTAGATTGTTGTTCCTGACTAAATGGGGTGTTGTTTTTGGTTAAAAAAAGAAAAAGAAAAAAAAAGAAAAAGAAAAAAAAAAAGTTGTTGATAAAAGGTATTTGAAGTTAACACACAAGAGCCTACCAGGGGATGCGAAATCCTCTTCAAGGATTTACTGATCACTGCTTATCTGCCAGCATCTCTTCTTAATTTTGAGTCGTTCTCCAATACGTCCTGGAGCAGCATAAGATCATCACAGAACGAGGCTGCCATGGATACACTCGACTATCGGGATAGCATTAATTAAAAGAAGCACAGTGCCCAGTTTCCGCCGTCCAGACATGTATTGGGGAATTGATCAAAAAAACAGTTCTCAGCTTTGTCAGATCAGAGAAAAATTTGCTTCCTTTGGAGTTATTCGGCAGAATTTGGGGAAAACTTGCGGCAGGCTGTCTAACGCAGTTCAGAGAGGAATGCTTCTGAGGAGCCACTCGACCCAAAAGACTTGATTGCTGGCTTTTTTTTCTCCTTTTGATGGTTGCACTGTGCTTTCATCCACATAAAAAAAGACTGTTGATCGAATTCTCACACGCCATTTAGTTAGTCTGACCCCAACCATTTCTACTTCATTTTAAGTCGGTTTCTGTGCTGCTACACTTGACATTTTTTACTTTCTCGGTGTAATCACTCCTTCGTGATCTTCATGCAGTTCTTCAAACTTGAAGGTTGCGATGCTTTTAAACATCCTGAACTGTCAGTGACATGCTTGTAAGAGATGTTGGTCCTCTACGTTACACAAAATATCATATTTACCAGAATATAAAGGATCTGCAATCGGGGGTCACTATGAATGATTTCAATACAAAAAACCCCATTGAAAAGCACAAGAATACCTGCAGTAAGGTAAGTGAGAAAATACAACTCATAAAATATGTCATTCATTATAATGAAATAATTTTTCATTATTTATGGAATAAAAGGAAATAATTAAAGCTGACCACACCTTATATGTTTCTATAGGACTTAACTGATTTAATTTGCATAAAAATAACTTTGCATTGCAGCTCCTGTCTGTTGTTTCAACAAACCCAAAGTCCTCTTATATAATATAACTTCACCAGGCGAGGCAAAAATGTAGATTGGCCAAATTGTAGCAATTAGTCAACAACAGCAAAATTACAACCCTGTTAAGCATGGAGGTGGATGAGTGATGATTTGGGCATGTTTGTAACCAAATGATGACTTATACATTGTATGTTCAAGGTTTCCTCCAGAAAACTTTCTAAGCCTGGCAGATGGATGCCAGAGCAGTCACTCATCCAGCGGCCCATCATGTTTATGAGTTAAAAAATGTTTAAAGCTTACAGGAAATTTGAAAATATCACTTGATAAGTATGTGTTATTGAAAAATTGAAACATTAATACCTGAACACAAACTACAAAATCTTTAAAAAATGCAAACATTTTAAAAAGACTTAAAAAAAAAAAGCAATGCTTAGCCTGGTGAGGGCACAAGTACAGCCTGGTGGCCCGCCAGGCTTATAATACACTGCGGGAAATCCTGTATGTTTGGGGATAAATGGCAATGACAACAATAATAATAAAAACAGGATGTAGTGTAAACTCTAGATTTTGGGCTACAACGCACAGCGATCGAAAAGCAACAAGACAAACAGAACAACAAATACACAAATATATATCACATATAGATATGAAGAATGAGATGTACTCAAGACCTTTCTCTGAAATTTACAGTTTCCCTTCCTGTTTTACAGGGTCGGATTTTCAGTCTATTCTCATTTCTATGCTGATGAGATTTAATTGTCTGTGTTAGTGGTCTACACAGGTTTTACTTGAACAGTGCTTGACTGTTCAAATAGTCAAGCACTACGCAGCCTTGTGGGGGCTGCTTAGGTTGCAACCCCCTCAAGAACCTGAACAAGATGAATGAGCACATAGAAATTAAACATCCAGACTTTCAGAGCAAGCTAACAGAGCCCTTCAAAATGTGCGGGAAAGGTTATGTGCAACAAAAACACAAAAGAAACAAGGTGAGAAATAAAACTGAGTTTTCTACGAGTAGTCTAAAAATATCTGGACAATATTCTCAGCTTCTAGACTTTCCCACCAACAATTTAAATCCAGTTTTAAAGTTAATTTAAGCCCAAACCGACCTGGCCAGCGTTGGACGAGTCACACAGGGCCGTGGAGTATTGCCTGTCGAGCTCGGGAGCGTTGTCATTGAGATCTAACGTCTCTATTCCGACCACAACTCTGGACACCTGGCTGGGATTGTCTGGGAAAGGCAAAGAGCAGAAATAGACATTTTAATGTTGCCAACCAAATACATCTACACATTTGATCCGAGTTTGGAAAATTATATGAACACAAACAAATAGGGAGAAAAAGTATAACACACACACACACACACACACACACACAATTGAGTGCAGGTTTGCGCTTCATTAATTCTGTGCAATTGTCCTCATAAGAACGATCAAACATTTTAGTCTTTGTCCAAAAAGCCTCAACAATTCTCAGATCCCATTAGCCAGCAGTCATTTGGCTAAAGGAGTCGTGGTACATTTGGTCTCATTTGGCTCATATTGCGGCTCCCAGGATCCCAACTGGATGCTTTTATGGCGGACCGATTTCTGCACATTGAGGAGTTCGATTCGCAGCCAACACTCCTCAAAGTGTCAAGAGTGCGTTCGTTCCTTTAAGAAAGAGAGACGTCGGGCAGAGAGGAATGTCGAGAGCAGTCGGTGTGTGTGCGCGCCACACAAGGTTGCAGTTTAAATGGATTGGCTTTGGCTTTTCCACTCCACAATCACTTGGCTCTACTCGCGTTCAGCCATAAAGTTCCAATAGCAGAGTGTCAAACAAGTAAAGTCGGAATCTCCTCGCCATTCGTCCGCTTTACATTTTAGCCTGCTGTATAAAAAGCTCACAAACATCACGGCAACTCGTTTGTCTGGGCGGCCAACCTGACGCCATGCTTTCTATAAATGCGAGATGAACACATTTTGCATACACTTCCCGAATGCGGAGGGGCAGCGACGCGTCACGGGACGGCGGCGACCGTTTCCCGCCACAACCGAGAAAGCTGAAAATGAGCTGCAGCCACAATGCCACTGGGTGAGCAGGGCTGCCTGTGGCCATGGCAGAGCTCCCACTGTGTTTGTGTCAACACAACCACCAACAGTCTGTTTATTAGATAGAGCTCATTATTCAAGACAGGAGCTCGCTGTGCAGCCGCTTCAGCCGTACCGGCGATCTCCTGCCACAAGCAGCCCTGAGTAGATTTTAAGCAAAGATTAGCTTCATCCGGGACAGGACTTGGCAGGAAAGCAACTTTCCTTCATTGCACGCAGTGGGCAGCATTATTTAACAATGCTCTCTCGCTTGTACAGAAATAAAAATTAAAAATGGATCGCATCGTTTGGGGCTTTAAGGAATTGCAGCCAGCCAAAAAAAAAAAAAAAAGGAATGCTGCTGGAACTGAGCCAGGCTTTACCAACAAGCTGGTGTTGATTCGAAGAATACCAAAAGAAATAAAGCAGAAAATAGACTCCTTTTTTTTTGTCAATGTCTGTTCAATAACCCATATAGCACGTGCAATCTGAGTCTGGAAACTGACAGCAAGGACGATTGCCAGCGCTATAGAACTACTGAGTGACTAATAAGATGATTCATCTAGCTGTTTTTGTGATCCGCCACACTGTTGGCAGATGAGAAAAAGTTTGGATTTGATAAGGCATAAAAGTGATGTTTGATTTAGAAGAGGAGCTGTCTTTAACATAAAAATGAGGTGCTATTATCTCACTTCATTGCTCCCATCTTCTCAGCTGAGGCTCTTTTTTTCCCTTTTAGCTAGTTATATTTCACAGAGATAATCTAAAAAGCTAACAAGGTTAGGTGAGCTAAAACAGAAACAGTGTTTTATTTGGATTAGCAGCCACGGCTTTTCGCTGCCAGCTAATGACGATGGTGATGCAGTGCTGCTGTCAGACTTTCGCTGCGGTTTGGATCATCCAACAGATGCACATTCCAGTAAAATTACCTGTGGTGAATGAGAAACAATGTCTATACAACTCGCTCTATTTTTCCACTTATTGGGTTGGAGGAATAGCTTCCTTTTTAGTCAACCATACAGCCTATGTGCTTTTTCCTCCTTTTCTACATTGTGTTTTGTGATAAACACAAACTCAGTGATTTAATTGTCAAAGTTCATGTCAGAGAACATTAGAGAACAAACCTACAGAAATTAAGCTAACAGGCCAGGAAAGAACAGCATTAATTAGAGAGAGACTCTGGAGGAGCTGCAGAGATTCACAGCTCCGGTGGCAGAATGCGTTGACTAGACAGCATTAGTCATACGCTCAAATATATTCTTAAGGTCGTTAGATTATCTTCATAAAGCCATCCTGCATGTGTCCTAGTATAGTTATATTCAAGAAGAAAAAACAATCTAATTTTGGGTTTTAGAACAAAGCCAAATGTACAAATTGTGAAAGAAGACAAAAGCCACCATTTTCTTAAAGGAACATTTGCATTTTTTTTAACATCTAGTTTGCAGCTTCAAGCATGTAAGTTTTACAAAATATGTTTTTCACATATTGGTAAAACTGTTACCATGTTGTAACCGTTTTAACATGAGACAGATAAACTGTGACACATGGTAAAAAAACAAAAAAGTCTCTTATTTACTGTAAATTATGGGCAGCTGTGGTTTCCAGTATTTTACTGTGCAGTTGGTGAAAAACAACCAATCAGAGCCAGGAGGAAGGTCTTAGTGCTACTAATCAGGCTCGTGTACGTGCTTGCTCAATGTGCTAATGGCGGAGAAACAACATACCATTACAGGTAAACCATTTATCCGCCGTCATAGGCGGCCATGCTAACTAGCCTTAGCATTTAGCAGTGCTAAGACCCTCCTCCTGGATCTGATTGGTTGATTCTGACGGCGCTGTCTTTTTGTTCAGATGACAGTAGGACCACAGGGGGGAGGCAGAGGAGCTCGATTTTTTCACAAATTATCTGTTTCGTATTGTTCTGTCACAACATAGTGACAGTTTTGGCAAATATGTAAAAAAAAAAAAAAAAAAAAATTTAAGCTACATACTGCTGCCTTAATGACAAAGCAATAGGACTAAAAAAATACTTTGTATCAACTAGATTATTTTTCTTTTACCTTTTTATTTAAAAATATTTCCCCCAGTTTCCCACAGGAGGCAAGATCCACTATGGATCCCTGAGCCAGATCAGTGACTCCAAACATCTAGCCACAGCTATATGATCAAAACATAGAACGGCGCAGTCAAAGTCCAAGCCTGACTCTGTAACATGTTCACAGCTCTCTCCGTCCAATGTTACTGAATTGAGCTGTTGGGTAAAGAGAGGAATGAGCAAATATGCTCGTTTCTAAGGCGAGGTGAACACAAATGCAAGCCGCACTTTTTAGATTTCATTTGAACAAAATGTTGAAACAAACGTAGAATTTTCCTTCCACTTCATTGATATGCACAACTCAGTGTTGGTCCACCACAGCAAAGCCCAGCGAAGTAACATTAAAGTCTGTTAATAGAACATAAAGGAATGTGAAAAGGCTGAAGTACTTTTATGCACAGAAGTTCCTTTTTTTTTTTTTTTTTTTATAAAATTTTGCATTGTTTATGCTTTCGCACATGGAATTAGAAACAGCATGCGTGACTTTGCAGCATATTAATGCACTGTTTAGCTTTCAGGAGATTTGTGTGTGTGTTGGCACTAGGCGGTACAACGCAAATTACTCGAAAGGCTCTACGCTGGCACTTATTGCTTTCTTAAAACAAATCACTCGAAAACATCTATTTACAAAATTACCTTTCATGCATGATTGTAAGCTCCACGACATCGACTTCAGATGCCTGTTTTTTTTTTTCCTTTTTTTTCTTCTTCTCTGGAGTACAACCTGTGGTGTGCCAGACTCTTTTTCTATAACTTACTTTGACCCCGTAGTTGTTTATCATTCCCATTTTGCAATCACAATGTGCCAGGAAAGCAATGCTCGTCTTTAATTTGCTGCTTTAATGCAGCAAGTTAGCTCGTATTCCTGTGGGGAAGGGATCTGTTGCGGCGTCGGATAACCAACACCGTATAGATCTACTGATTTTCAGGCACGCTGTAACAAATCGGTCTTGCGGCCAAACAGCATCCCCCTCACGGCTTGATGACTTGAAGGCTAAGCCGCTTAGCGAGCTGCAACTCACAAAGGATGGCAAGCTTTTCAGACATTGTACGACGTCGAGTTTTACTCCGCTAAACCTCTTAGTCGTCATTGGGTGCAGGTGTTGGGGTTTAAAAGAAATAATAGTTTCGGTAGAAGAAATAACCCGGTAAAGAAAAAAACGCTCTAGTGACGCAGCAATGTGACCTCTGACCTCTCTGGGTGGCGATGACAGTAATGTTGTGCCAGTGCTCCCGCTCGCGGTCCAGCTCCATCGCCGTGGTGATGAGGCCGGTCTCCGGGCTGATACGAAACAGGGCCTCCGGATCCGACTGGGGGTCTATTGAGAATCTGAAACGGAGAGAGAAAGAGAGAAAAAAGTTATCAGAAGAAAGGTGAGGGAGATGAGGAGGGGTAAAAAAATAAAATAAAAAATAAAAAAAAGTGCCCCAGCAAAAGGAAGGAAGCAAGCGGAGTTGGCAGCGGGGCGCGGAGTGAAAGAAGCGGCCGGGGCAAGTGTGTGAAGGAGCGATAAGGAGGACGGCATTCAAATGGCCAAAGAATTAATATGGGGAGATTATCATGGCAGATTGGGGCTTTTTTTGAAGTGAAAAGGATTATCAAAAGATCTCCAGCAATATACCAGCTATCATTCTTCCCCACATCTTCACTCCTAGTGCTTTTGCGTTTAATTGGGACATGGTTTTTTGGAGTTGATTTGCTTTTTTTTTTTCTATTTCTCTCTACTTCTTTAAACTTCTTAAGTCATGATCTCCCACAAATGAAAGTTAAAGGACAGAACCTTTTCACATAGTTTATGTATAGAAAGTGCACCTGGCTCATGTGATTACCAATCTGTTTTGTGGATGAATGTATTGACTGAAGTACTGATGCCATTACCTTTGAGAACCCTCCTTGTTTTCTTTCTTATAGAAAGTACACCAAGTCTAGTGCTTCTGAGAAAGTTACTGGTGTGATTGAATTTGTGTACTTTTCTTGACTTTCTTTCTGTGGAAAGTACCCCTGGTCCAGAACTCATGTGCTTAGCTATTTCATAATCCTGGATATAACCACTGAGAGCCACTGATGCTATAAACTTGTTTTTCTCTCCATTAACAAATTGGTGCTGGCCTTGTGCTTTTGTTTTTATACTTAATCTCGAGTCCACAGAGGCCATAGCTGATGATGCCACTAACATTAAATACTTTGTGCTTTTCCTAAATCATTGCTTCTGTGGTTTTTTGCTGTGACTCCATCCTGGCGTCCCAACCCTTAGCTACCACAGTGTAATATGCCCATTGTACATAAGAAAGAAAAGGAGTAAATTTCATCAAAAGATGTTCAAGAATTTAGTTTTTTAATTTCTGAGTTTGAAAAGTCAATAAATAAAAATGCTAGAAAAACTCAGGAGGAGTACATTTCCACCAGTCAACTCAGAAAGTTTCAGATTAATCTAAAAATGTTCCTCAAAAACCACCGAAATTTTACAGTTTTAAAAGTCAAATCTCTTCAACTTTTGAAATTCTAATTTCCTATTTTGTTTTTAGAAAACTTCCTGAGATTAATCTAAAAAATTCTGATTGTTTTAGTGGAAATGTACTCTTCTTTTTGAGTTATTTTTTTACCATCTAGCCCCAATATGCCATCATAGAATTCCTAGATTAAAGTCTGATTTGACTTTTTTTTCCATGAAATGTGTGCATAAAATGTGCCAAACAAAAAAAAAAAAGGCACTTTGCCTGAAACGTAAAGTAAAAAGTCAGAATTCCTTTTTATTTACATTGGCCATCAAATATATGCTCTTCCATATATTTGACCTACAATTATTAATCGAGGAAAAAAAAAACTGTCTGGTTTTGTTTCTCAAAAACAAAGCCAAACATCACTAGCATTTCATTTAGACGCCTTATGCCTTACCTGATATTATTAGTCAGACCGGTATCGGGGTCCACGGCGCTGACCCGGCCCACGGTGCAGGCCGGGGGGCAGTTTTCAGACACGTCCATGTGGTATTTGGATCGGGAGAACCTCGGGGGCTCATCAGCATCTAGCACAGCCACTCGGATCGAAGCTCTGTCTTTGAAGGGGCCTCGGCGTAGAAAACGAGGATCCACTATGGGGTTGAGGACCTCCACTGAGAAGGAATATAAAGTATGGCTCTCATAGTCTACAGGCTGGGGGGGAGAGCAACGTAAAAAAAAAAAAAAAAGGTTAGAAAAATGCCCAAATAAAAAGATTTAAGAATATGAGCACATCTAATGTTTTTTTCTTCTTCTTAGTAGCAAGAAAAGGCATAAATACCAATGTTTTAAACATCAGATCCAACAGACTGCGCTTTCATTTGAACTAATTCTCACACCAAATTATCCGTGGACGGCTGCTGAATTACATATCGAAATCCGCGAGACGGCACATAATGAACGGTATCAGCACATCAGAGAGGGAGAGTGGCCACATCCAGAATCGGCTCGGAACAATTTGGAGGGAAATAATCTCACGGTTACCTTCCATGTTGTGACATTTGGATTTCTAAAGAGGCTTCTTTTGAAGGTTGTTGTGGGCGGGCGGCTGCTCAGATGGTGGCGGGGGCTTTTTTATGTGTGTGTGTGTGTGTGTGTGAAGTGAGAAAACGCATTCATGAGGCGGCAATGCTACGGTATCGCCAATGAGATTTCTGACACTCAAAAGTTAAAAAGCCTCTTCAGAACTCAGCCACTGATGTGACTACATGTTTGCTCGTGTCGCTCCGAGTTGATGTTTGGATATTTTTTGACACGCTGAGACTAGAGAACGTATAGCTGAGGAAAAACTCTGCCAAGAAGCTGCGAGTATTTGTGGGAGTTGTGAGATTAGCAGCGCTGCATTGAGCAGCCAATCCAGTTTTGTCTCCTTTTTTAGCGTTAGCATTGTTTTCTTCCCACTGCGCTGGCAAAAACTCCTCAATGTGTTGGTGTGAAGTGGTAGGAGCAGCTTCCTTATGCATTTGCATTTAGACTCATTTGGTCTGATACCCCTAAATAAAATCACTTGTAACCAACTCTACCGGGAAGCCCCTCACAACAAGTCATTATTCAAATTTTTAATTTTAATTAGCTCGATCATTTCCACTCTGATTAGTATTCTTTTAACTACAATTTTACTTACAGCTTCTTCATAATCCATATTAGCTATGGTTTTGGTTGTGAGTGGTTTTTATTGGTTTTTGATTTTGGATATTTAAAATATCTTTCAGTTGCATTAAGTGCTTTTGAAAAAATGTAAGTTTAAGAAGGCAAACTTGCATTATTATGCCATTATCAATACATGACTTGAAAATGGTCTCGTTTCTGGGGTGATTTATTATCCGGCGAAATTTGCTATTGTGACGAGACACCTGTGCTTGATTTAATCACAAACTTCTATAATTTTAGAGATTCCATAACAAAGTTCTTCTGTGAAGTTTTAAGCTTTAACCTATAAGGCCATATTTTCGGGTTTTCAAAATAACAGTCGCGTGTGGAGGAAAACTAAAGCCGTACCCCTCGCTGAGCACACCATTACAACTTCCCCACGGATAGTAAACCTGGTTAAATGGATCATCAAGAGCTAAATAAAGACCAATTACAACCAAAGACAACTTAGAAGTTGCAAAAGATTTCAGAACGGAGTAGAGTTTTACCTTCCAGCCAGGTGGCGACGCTAAATGTATAACAGGAAGCACAACGGAATGGCTTAAATCCAACAATGTGACATCTAGTATTGATCCATCCAGTATTGGCGACGTATTCCCTGGCACAAAGTGCAAGAGCATCTTCAATATTCAGTCACTGATGCGGCTACATATTTAGTAGCTTATGTTTGGGTATTTGTGACTCATCTGTGAGTAACAGCAGCACAGTGGAACCGCTTATCCACATTTTCCTTTTTGGAGGTTTCAGCCTGTTGTTTGCTTCTGCAGTATTGCCAAAAACTCTGAGACATGTCGTTGCATTTAAATGGAAAAAATAAAAATAAAAAGTTACAAAAGTGTTGGCAGGGTTCGTTTCAGAGGTAGAAGTTAAGTTGCACTCTTTGCAGAACTGCAAAGCATCCGCCGCGCCGTACAGATGTTACGTCGGCAGATCATTTCCATAAACATTAGAGCTTCCGATGATGAAAGCGCAAACGAAAGCATCCCATCCCTATTTTTCACAAACAACGCTTCCCTAGTTTAGAAGACAATCTCCATCTCCATGGAGACTCCACCATCACCATGGAGACTTGTACCTGGATATAAGGAGCATTATAAATTCCCTTGTATAGTTGCATCTATGCAGGTGTAAGAGATTTCATTTGGGATAGAGGCTCGGGCAGAGAAGTTATGAAGCCTGTTTTTTTTCTGTTGTTTCTTTTTTTTTTTTTCTGAGGTCTCCCCGTGTGATTGTGCGCCGCTCTCCTGCTAGCACGGCGGCTCTGAAGCGAAGAGACAGCCTCTGATCTGGTTCGTCGAGATGATTCTTAGCGAGGGGACAGGCACGCACGAGTAATCACACACATCTACTGTCTCCCACCGTCATGCACCTGCTGCTGATTAAATTTCAGAAAAGCAACACGTTTTTTTTTTTTTTTTTTTACTGGTTCAGAATATCTGTTTGAGGGACGAGTGGGTGTACAAGTGCTTCTTCTGAGGCTGCGTCTTTGATTCGTCTCGGTCGGATTGGCTGAAAAGGAAAATTAATAAATAAATCATGTTGGATGAATTTTAAACGGGACTTCTGGTGGAATTTCCACTGTCAGCAAAACAGAGAGAAAAAAAAAATCACTCATGTGATCCAGTCAGAAGAATAAGTATTGATATTCTCTCCTTCTGTTCTGTGTTTATTTTTTCCCCCACATTCTGAGCTGTAAAGAAGTGCAAAAAAAATAAAACAAAAAACAACATAAAATTATTTGTGGTTTTAGACAGAAATCGGGATTGATTAAAAATTATGCAGAAAAATAAGGGAGAGTAGAAAGACGGCACAGTGGAGGCAATGTGCAGAGCTTCTCCGAGGCAAAAAACAAAAAACAAAACAAACAACAACAAACAAAAAGAGCTGCCATGGAAGACAGAGAGACGGAGATCATGATGGAGTGGATGTGTGGAAGGAGGGTAGATGGAGGGAAAATGCGCTCTAACGGGGCCCACATTACTGGGAGAACGAGACAATCTGTCTAAGGAGGAGAGGTGTCACTTACACTGTGAGCGCACACTCATCAACCCCCTCCCTCCATCCAGCTCCATCACTCCGCCGCCGCTCCGTCACCACCTCACACACTCCATCACCTATTCCCCGATCAACCAACTCTAATCTTTTTTTTTCTCCTTCCCTGTAGAGTGTGTGTGTGTGTCAAACCGCAGCGCACACATTCTCCTACCCTCATGGGCCCCAACATGAATCAGTTACCATGCAGGCGCTGCAACAGTTATTCTGGTGTACTATGGGTTTATCCACCGCTAGCTCGTGTGAGGTTTACATCCGTCCAACTATGTATGTCTGATTGAATCCCCCAAAGGTTACACTTTATTGAAACGGCTCATTCTCCGTCTAGTCTGAACAGGTGACCTGTTATGGTTTCTCGAACAGGTCAGGATAGGTCCAACCAAACGTTTATTACATTATTTTGCACAAAACCATTCTTGGATAATGAGATTTTAGTCTGGTCCATTCGGCTTATTTTGAGCTCCGTTTTAGAGCCTCTTGTCACTTTAAAATCAAATGAGCTGCTGCTCACCACCCCAGTTGTGCAACTGTACATCTTTGAAAAGCAGAAGTGGAGCCTCCTGCACAACCAACAAGAATGCAGTGAGTGGTGTCTGGATGGTAAGTCAACAACAACACGCTCGTCTTTCCCAGCAGCCGTTGTGCAATGCATACAGCGGTAAAACCAAACGTCCTGAAGCGACACTTGGGTTGCTAGGTAACAGAAATAACATCCCGCATACTAAGACTTGAACTCAGAAAACGGCACTGAATGCAGATGATACAATTTAACGATTTTTTTTGTTGTTGTTATAATAAGAAAATGTGAAAAGAACACGTCACTTTCCTTTAACGTCACAATTATGCAGCACTTTCTCATACCGAATCTCTACCAAACACATTGTCGGTCGAGGCCCTAAAGAGGCCAAATGTGGGAAAGTTCCAAGAGCATGAAAACTTTTGCAAGACACTGTACGAGAAGTCCGGATAAGCAGGGGTCTTTCCAGGATTTTGTGCTATAAGAACAAAACACACACATGAAAGCCAAGCCAGATCCGCACCAGAGCATCCCCGAGGCTGCGGGCGGAGATGTCTCTCTTACAACCTGAAATTGGCAGCAGGAACGCAGACTTCATTAACCCTCAGATCTCCACCTTCACCCAAGGCTAAGGCAGTGATTTAGAGGAATATTAAATTCTTAATATTAATTTAACACCGATGTGGAAGGGGAAGTGCAGAATGAGAAAGCAGGAAGGCATCTATGTACTTAAGAAGGTAAAAAAAAAAAGTCTTTGACAGAAAGATGCTTCCACAGAAGGAACCTTTGAGGGGAAGAATATAAAAATAAAATCAACAAAAGCTGACTTTTGCATATTTCTGATCAGTTTCCCAAGAATTTATGCACAATCTATATATACCAACAAGCATTCTCTAACAGCTAAAACCCTTGAGGAAGAAAGAACAGCAGGGATTGTTAAAATTGGTAAACACGACATTCTAACTTCGCTATTCTTGCCTGATTCAACCTGCAGGGGAGCCAGTAAGAGCGCTCCTCAAGCTGCCGCGGCGGAGCTGGTTAGGGCGCAAATGAGCGGAGGGAGCAGTGATGAATCAGGAAAATAAATACATTATTTCCCTCATTATTTTAATACTCACCACCTTTTCACTGCGAAAACGGCGCACGCTCCTCCACAAACGCACGTTTGCAGATGTGATTCCTTGTTTGAAGTGTGTAACACACGGCACAAAAAGAGCAACAAGATCGGGTGTTTCATAAGACCCGTCACTTTAGGCAGGCGACACAAACAGGAGAGTATAAACAGTGACCAAACATCTTACAAAGAAGGAAAATATTTGCTCAAATTCATGTCGAACTCAATTTAACACTGACTGACAGCTGGTAAAAACAAGAGCTCTCTAGCTGCAGTACTCAGCACACTTTGTTTTTAGCAGCAGCACAAGGAAACACTTTC